CAAAGTAAAGAAGTAGATAGAACCAGTGGTGAATATAAAAAATAAAAGAAATATTTATTTAAACACACTTAATAACAAAGAAATCAAAGAACCGAAGTCCTCCACTATGACATTTTATCACATTGACTATGATGAAGATACAGGGGTTTATTCATAGATAATATTATCTAAATATCTTTAATAATGAACTTATTAGAGATGTTTAGTGGGACAGGCAGTGTTGGACTTGTTGCAAAAGCAATGGGTTTCAATGTTGTTTCATTGGATTTGAAAAAATCTGATATAAATACTGATATTTTGAAATGGGATTACAAACAGTTTGACAGAAACCATTTTGATTTTATCTGGGCATCCCCACCATGCACAGAATACAGCAAAGCCAAAAACTACAGGAATTAGGAATATCGAATATGCAAATAGTATAGTTTTCAAAACTATTGAAATTATCAAATACTTCAATCCTAAGTATTTTGTAATCGAAAATCCCCAAACCGGATTATTCAAAAAGTCAGGAGTTTATGGATGAGTTTGAATTTAAAGATGTTGATTATTGTAAATGTGGATTTAATTATAGAAAGAGGACTAGGCTATGGAATAACATTACAACTTGGAAACCTAGAGATTTATGTAAAAAGGATTGTGGCAACATCAGGAATAACAAACATATTGAAACTGCGCAACGTTTGCCAAGTGGAAACAAGGAAAAATGGGGAGACAATCCAACAATACATAAGCAGGAAGATTTGTACAAAATACCTAGCGAATTAATTTGTGAAATCTTAGTGAGTCTAATGTCTCACTCTCAGGAGTAGTAATCGTAAAATTGAACATATGCGGAGTTTTGACATTTGTTGTTTCAACATATGTTGATTTTTTGGGGTGGAATGTTGTTTCGACATATGTTGTTTTTTTTGGGGTGGTATGTTGTTTAGACATATGGGCTCATTCTGCTTTCAGGGGTGGTATGTTGTTTAGACATATGGGCTCATTCTGCTTTCAGGGGTGGTATGTTGTTTAGACACATGGGCTCATTCTGCTTTCAGGGGTGGTATGGCTTTTCGACATACTGGGTCCATTGTTTTTCAGAGGTGGTATGGGTTTTTGGCACACGGGGTCCATTGTTTTTCAGAGGTGGTATGGGTTTTTTGGCACACTGGGTCCATTGTTTTTCAGAGGTGGTATGGGTTTTTTGGCATACTGGGTCCATTGTTTTTCAGAGGTGGTATGGGTTTTTTGGCATACTGGGTCCATTGTTTTTCAGAGGTGGTATGGTTTTTTTGGCATACTGGGTCCATTGTTTTTCAGAGGTGGTATGGTGTTTTCGTCATATGTTGTTTTCAGAGGTGGTATGTTGTTTCGACATATGTTGTTTTTCAGAGGTGGTATGTTTGTTTAGTCATACTGATCGTTTGCTCTTTGGAGGGTAGCTTGCTGGTTTAATCGTTTGCTCTTTGGAGGTAGCTTGCTGGTTTAATCATACTATAATTATAACATATAAAATCTTATATGTTGTAATTATACTATACTTATGGTTTGTAAAGATTGAAATATTTTAATTTTCCTTAATTTGCTTATCTCTTTGAAAGTGCGTTGTTTGAACTTGGTATGCTCTTTTGATTTTTTCGTGCTTTGACTGTTGTGTATTTATTTTGTTTGATACTCTTCTGATCAAAGGAAGTTTAGAAGGCACTTCCGTGTTACGGCAACTAATTGAAAGCTAGCTCTCTCTGAGACAGATGAAGAGAAGGAACAAGCACGCGAGAAAATATGCGCGCGCGTGTGGTGGGAGTAAGGAATCTGCAAAAAGCGTGGCCCCGTGCGTGAATTGGTGTCTCCGGAGAGCCGAAAGCTAGCCTGTTCGCGGCGCCTGGTCGGACCACTCTCGGACCACTCTCGGAGCGCGTTCGGAGCGCGTTCGGACCATGCTCGGAGCGCGGGCCCATTGGCACGGTAACGCGAAGGTTTCGTTAGGTTTGAATTGCGTGGCAGGCGCAGCACTTTCGCAAGGTCAGGTTCAGATTTCGTGGCAGGCGCAGCACTTTCGCAAGGTTAAGTTTTCCCAAGGTTTGAATAGCGTGGCAGGCGCAGCACTTTCGAAAGGTCAGGTACAGATTTCGTGGCAGGCGCAGCACTTTCGCAAGGTCAAGTTTTCGCAAGTTTTGAATTGCGTGGCAGGCGCAGCGCTTTCGAAAGGTCAGGTGCAGATTTCGTGGCAGGCGCAGCACTTTCGCAAGGTCAAGTACAGATTTCGTGCAGTGCTTTCGCAAGGTCATGTACAGATTTCGTGGCAGTTGCAGCACTTTCGCAAGGTCAAGTACAGATTTCGTGGCAGGCGCATCAAGTACAGATTTCGTGGCAGGCGCAGCACTTTCGCAAGGTCAAGTACAGATTTCGTGGCAGGCGCAGCACTTTTGCAAGGTCAACTTTCGCAGCCGGGGCTCGAACATCGCAACTTTTAAGTACGAAAGTAGTACGCGAAGTCAACTTTCGCAGCTGGGGCTGGAAAATTGCAACTTTTAAGTACGAAAGTAGTACGCGAGCAGCCGGGGCTCGAAAATCGCAACTTTTAAGTACGAAAGTAGTACGCGAAGTCCACTTTCGCAGCTGGGGCTCGAAAATCGCAACTTTTAAGTACGAAAGTAGTACGTGAAGTCCACTTTCGCAGCTGGGTTTGAAAATCGCAACTTTTAGATGCAGATATAGATGGATAGATAGATAGATCGATAGACAGATAGAGAGATAGCTAGAGAGATAGATAGAAAGAGATAGAGAAAGAGATAGAAAGATAGATGGATAGAGAGAGAGAGAGAGATAGATACATAGATAGATAAAGAAAGAGAGAGACAGAGAGCAAGATAGATAGATAGGTAGACAGAGGGATACATAGAGAGACACAGAGATAGAGAGATAGATAGATAGATAGAGAGAGAGAGAGAGGGCTAGAAGATAGAGAGAAAACTTGATAAATAGAAAGAAAAAGAGATAGATAAATAGATAGATAGAAAAAGAGATAAATAGATAGAGAGATAGAGACATAAATGAATAGATAGATAAACGATAAACAGACAGATAGGTAGATAGACAGATAGATAGATAGATAGATAGATGGAGAGATAGATATATAGATAGAAACAGAGATAGAGAGGTAGAGATAGATAGGTAGGTAGATTGATAGAGAAATACATAGATAGATAGATAGATAAACAGATGAGTAGATAGAGAGGTAGATAGATAGATAGGTAGAGAGAATGAGATAGAGAGGTAGATAGAGAGATGGATAGATAGGTAGATCTATAGATAATTAGAAAGAAAAAAAGATAGATAGAGAGATGGAGAGATGGATAAACACACGTGAGATAGAGAGAGAGAGATAGATAGATAGCTAGACAGTGGGATACATAGAGAGATATAGAGATACATAGATAGAGATAGGTAGATAGAGAGATAGACAGATAGATAGATAGATAGATAGATGGATAGACACGCGGGAGATAGAGAGATAGATAGAGAGATAGATAGAGAGATAGATTAGTTAGATAGATAGATAGATAGATAGATAGATAGATAGGACAGAGAGATAGACAGAGAGATAGAGAGATAAATAGATTAGATAGACAGAGAAAATAAAGAAAATAATATATAGTTAGATAAATAAATAGTTAGATAAATAGATAGATAGATAGTTAGAGAAGCGACCAAAGAAAGAACGGTGCAAAAAAAACAAGCAGAGGAAAGAAAGCAAAGAAAAAGAAAAAAAGAAAGAAAGAAAAGAAGGAAGGAAAGAAAGAAAAAGAGAAAGACAGAATGACGGAAAAAAAAGGAAGAAACAACAGTGAAAAGGAAGAAGAAGAAGAGAACAAGAATCAAGACAAACAGAGAAAGAGAACTATTGTTTTTATATTTTGGAAACTTCCGCCCACCGGCTTCGCCGGCTCTACTGGTATTTTTTTGTTGTTATACTGCTTTTTTTAAATGTAAGTATATTTTTTGAAAATTTGTTTATTGAAAATTTATTTTTCATTTTTTTAATGAATGAACTTTTCCTTCCCCATCTTTTATACCATCCAATAACCATATCCTATAAACTACCCTATACTCCTATTTCCTAACAATGACATGAATGATGGAATAGAAATGAGAAACAATGTGACTTTTTGAAAGAATTTGAGGTTGAGACTGTTATGAAATGTTTTGAGTGGAAATATGCATAATGAATAAGGATGATAATTTGAATAGTGAAAAAATGGTTGAACAATGCTGTTTTTGCGTAGGGGGGGGGCTACACTAGGATACCAAGAAAAGATGGGCAAGCCCTACTCTAACTCTAACCCCCCCTCCGCCCCCCCGAGCCTGCCAGAGCCCCCGTCCCGAGAGCCCCGCCCCCGAGAGCCCCGCCCCCAAGAGCCCCCGCACCCTTTGCGTGGGTCAACCGCTGTGTCGCTTCTGGATATTCTTGTGTCAGCTTTCAATTTGTGTCCGACCACAGCAGTTCCTTCTAAACTTCCTTTCGCAAGCAAGCGCGCCAACTACAACAAAACCAAATGCAAGCAAGCCCTAAAACCACTTCACAGGGCGGGCAGGCCGTTCCCGATTTCCCAAGCCAGATTTCCCAAGCCAGATTTGGCAAGCCAGCCCTAAGCCGACTGTAAACTAACCCTAAACAATTCCTAAACCAACCCTAAAACCACCCGCAACCCAACCCTAAATTAACTCCAACCAGCCCACCCACCATGCCGCAAAAGCGGGCTCGCGGGGAAGGTGAGGGGGGGGAAGCCCCTGCTAATCATTGTAAATAGGGCGCAGACCTCCACAGCGTTCCATTCCTCCTCAGGCTCAGCGTTCTGTTTTCACTGAACATATTTCTGCAATGACTGTTCTTCCACCTTTCGAACGGGATCTCCGGACCTTGCCATCCAGCCAAGGGTGGCAGATGCCTCCACCCCTCACAGTGGTCATTAGTGACCCAGCAAAAAGAAGGCAGGAAGAAGGAGCAAAACACTATGAGGAGATCAGAGGCTGGCGTTCTCATCTTGGTGGGGAAGAACCCCGCGGTGGTGGCAACACCTGGGACGAGATTGAAGCATGCGAAGAAACCTTTAGACTGGAAGCCTCAAGAGGAGAAAGGATTGGTCATCACGGACGACTACTGGGACATTTTTCAATTTGGCCCAGAAGAACTACAGAAGATGGACGAGATGGTGGAGGAAAAAAACAAGGCTGAAAGCGTGCCGGCCTTGGTGGAACTTCAGCCAGATGAGGAGAATGACTACAACAACATCATGACGAAGATGGTGATCGCATGGATGCTGCTACATCTAGCAGCATGCGGTCCACAGCACTACGAGGCGCACGTGATAGATGTGAAGGACGCTTTCTTGATGGTGCCACAGCCGGAGGAGGAAAGGGCGTCAGTGACACACAAAGGAAAGCTGGTCAGATGTCTCCCGGCCAGCGAACAGCTGCAAACAGGTGGTATGTCCATTTTAGGGACGCAGCTCAAGAGCGAGCATCAATCGTGGCCGCATTTTCATGGTCAACATGGTTGATGAGGTCAACATCAAGGTTGGCCGAGATGAGTTCAAGAACATCGAGAAGAAGCTGAGGAAGCAAGAAGGTGCTGAGTGGTTTGCGAGATGAATGCAAGATGGCTCTGGTGGCGGCATTCGCCAATCTGGTTGGAACCAGAGCGCAAAGCTCAAGGATAAGCCCAAGAGCGAGGACGCTGGAAACGAATGAATGTGGTTCCTTACTGGCCATTTTGGCCGGATTTGGCCTGATGAAGTGGCTATGGAGCTTCATCGTCGTGCAGATCAAGAAGGAGACGAAGCGGGTTCAGAACGCTGTGGCGACCCCCGAATCCACGGAGAACAAGCTGGAACGGAAGGCTGCCGCTACCACGGTGCAAGGACACTTCCGCAGCGCACAAAGTGCTGTGGTCATGAAGGCAGCATGTCAGAATTGCACTAGAGTTCAGTCATGACCACAGGATGCGTGCACGACCGCATTGAGGCTCTAAATTCAGAAGAGCCAAAAAGGAGCGCCCCGCTTATCAGAATCCCCAATGTTGGTTTCCTTTAGGGACACCATTGTAGCCAGAAGATTTGTGCAACTCCTCTTGTCAGGTCCCATGGCTCACGTTGCCACACCTTGATGTTGGTCTGGAACATGCCGCGCGAGCAGAATACGAACTTGGGGTGCAGGCCAGGAGGCAACTTGCAAACTTAAACTTGACTGATCAGTAGTGTCGCGTGCATTTCTGGTTAGCAACGCCTTACCGCAGTCATGCACCTAAGTGTCAGAACATGCTGCTATAATGTGGGTGCCTTTGCGACACTGCAGTATGTTTGACCAATGGATCCGCAAGGCCTGGAATTTGCGCCAGCCGGAGCAAGGCTTGGAGCTCTTTCTGAGGAGCTGTATGTGTTGTTTGAAGCCCAACATGTGACATCAACATGTGGTTGAAATGAAGACTCGCGTTCCTCCCTTAGCATTGATGACAGAGCTTTCCGGGACGAAGGCGGACGGCTGCAACACATGTAGTGACAGGAGTGCGCAAAAGGGCTATCAAGTCGGCGAGCCGGAGCCCCAGATGGTCTTTCCCGGGCGTGCATTCACATGCAAGTCATTGTCAGAGACGCGGCCAGCCGTTGGATTGTGTGAGCTCCTCACAGGTACTGCTTCCGCTACGGCATGTGCGCGCTCAGTTCCCTTGCCTGGCATAGGGTCATGCTCTGGCCATGACATGATGGTGTGCCATGTCAAAGACAGTCTTACTTGGGCTCATGTGTCTCTTGAACCTGGAGCCATGAGAGGGCACACAGAGATCATGTGTGATTGTTGAGACTTGCCGACTGCCTTTCCCACCAACCAGTTCTAAGCTGATGCTTGTGGCTGCTGTTTGCAATTCTTGCTGATGACACCGGTGATGGGCTCGAGCAGCTCCACCATTCAAAGGATTTGCCAGGACAGTTGCGATGCCTGTTGCTGCGTGCATTTTCTCCCACCCAAAGCCCACACAACTCACAAGAGCGCTACACGAGACTGCTGCGTGATGGTTGGACACGGCCGCTGGCTGTATCCAATGGTTGATGTCAGGCAGGCACTGAAAAGACAGGATCGCACGCACACACTCCATTCATTTTTGAGCCAATTGGTTTGCTACATGCATCATACACCATCCTCACAAGAGTCAGGAACATTCCAAGCGTTCCAAGCGTGCAAGGCAGCCGAAAGTTCGAAGCGCTGAGCAGATGGCTCGGTATGTATCACGGCGTTTCTGCCTGCGGGGTATCTCGCGAACCGAGGCGCCCAAGATGCTCGCTCCAAAGACCGGAGGGAGGAGGACTCGGCGCGGCTCCTGACGGGGTATAGGGTAGTTGGTATTCAGGACGTCAGGAATTCGATTCATGAAGATTCATGAAGATTCATACATGTCCACCGAGCATATTCGTGTTGAGAGCTCCCCAAGATTCGCCAAATGAGAGCTTGAAGCTGGAGTTCGCAGGATCGGCCGGCGTACATGGCATCTACCAGCTCGTGGTCGCTGCGCGCCAATAGCCCCGTGCGCCCTGCCGCAGCCCCCAGCGGTTTAGACTACCGGAGAGTTTCAGAGTGCTCGCTACTGCTCCCTGTTATGTTTGTGCTTGTTACATTTCGTTACTGGCTCTACGCTGATTTCTGAGGCCGATAAAGAGCGCCGCAGGAACAGCAAGACATGCTCCGAGACCCCCGGCGACTCCAACGGCAATGCGCAGGATTCGCTGGCATTCAACTCCACGATGTCATGAGTCATGAACAAATTTCTCTTTTTTTCAGGAGCTCGAGATGAAGCTTGTACAAAAGGCAGCCCTTCTCGAGGCTTTCCGCAAACCATGACTTTTGCTGGCCACAAGGTGGAAAAGAACAATCAGCCCGCCACACGACGGCCAGCAAAACCGCACTGCTGCTGCTACTGCTGCTGCTGTCTGGTCTGCTGTTGACGCTGCTGCTGGTGTTTCTGCCTAACATGTTGCTGCTGCTCAGGGGGCTTCTGCTGCAAGTTTCGCTAGTGAGTATTCCCAACGACACTTGCTAGTGTTGCTCATGTTGCGAGTGGTCAGTGTTCTTGGCGTTGCTAAGCTGGCTGGTCGCCAAGCATGCTGGTGTTGCTGCGGGCTACCACAGACGTGGCTGGTGGGAGCAATCTGACCGCATGACAGGAATTGCAAAGAGTGCAGAAGAATCTAGAAGAACGCTTGCTCAAGTTGGACGAGGACGGCAACTCCCTGTCCCATGGAATGGAAAGTGAGTCAATGCTCATGTTGCGTGTTGACGTTGCTCAGGCATATGTTTTTCAAATCTCCCGTTTGCTGGCCCCCACACCTACGAAACTACGATCTCTTGTGAAGCTGCATTGAAACCAACCGATGCCCCCACCGTGTTGCGCTGTCTCGACGACCTCAACAAGTGACTTTCTTGTTGACGGTGACAGCTGTGCAGGGTCTGCAAGCGAGAGATATCCAGCTGGCGGAGCTTGCCGGCCGCTACGAGGACTACTCAAGCATTCCGCATAGACTCGATCCTGCTTTTGAGGTGGTCATCCTTGAAGCCGGTGTCCTTGCCCGGGGGGAGAGGGAGAGTGAGAGAGCGAGGCATACCGACCTGCAGGAGGCCCGGAAGACAAGCGAGGAGCTTCTTCGTGGAGGGAGACAAGCAGTGCTTTTGCTTGGCATGCCCGGCGATAGAGCTTGTGCTTCCAGCGATGAGGAGTGGCGCAAGCGTGCCCAAACTGCCGAGGAGGACATTTCCTTTGTTCTGCTGTGGCGCCAATGGCCGTTGACACATGGCTCATGGGTGCAAGGATATTGAAGAAGAGGAAACAAACTGAAGGCCAAAAGCCTAACCTCCCGAGCCTGTGGTTTTCAGCAGATTGACTTGCTTGATTGTCACCAGGAGGTCGTCGTGCTGAGACGCGCTCTCAAGGTGCAAGCGGAGGAGAGGCAGGGGCGGGGGCGGAAAGCAACATGTTCACCCCAAGTATCTATGAAATAGATCTATGTAGCCTATGTTATTTTCATGACCCCTGCTCAGCCTGCTGCGTGTATTGCATTTTTTGGTGCATGGCGCCCCGCTTGCGCCAGACCCTTGCCCGAGAGCTAGACCCAAAGCCGGAGGTCGCGAAAAGCCTTATGGGTTCAAGGCCAAAGTGCCGCGCGGCTCCAATCGGAATAAATCGCTATTTGAAGGCTTGTGGGAAGCAACTTGTCAGTGCCAGAAGAAGGTTTGGGCTGAGGTTGAGATGGCTATTTGGGGTGTATTGGCGACCTAAGCGCAGGTACCATGAGCTTCCTCCCTCGGACATGATCCAGGCACCTTTCATCGTATAGCAGCGATTGGTGTTGCGACGTTGCCTGAGGCTTTTCGATGGTACAAGCGCGGTGCGCGGATGAACCACAAAGGCTCCACGACTATGTCTAGAGCTTAGCCTGGCAGAGTGAAGCTTGCGTCTTTTGAGTTCTGACAGTTTGCGGATGTGAATGGCGATGTGTTGTCTCTGTTGCTTTGCATTTGGACTGTTCCCAGGCTGGGAAAGCTCCACTTGGCTGCGGCTTCTCGGCCGAATGTTTCCCAGCACGCTTCCGTTCAGATTTCGGATTTGCAGGGCCACCGGGACCTGGCCGTGCGCTTCCTGCGACGCACCGGGCTTCCGCTCGGCCCGGCGCTTGCGCGTCGACTGGAAGGCGAGCTAGTTTTTCTCGTGCGCATTTTCTGTGGCAGAGGTGTGCTTGGGCCTGCAGCGACCGAAGCAGATGTGCTTGAACGAGGCCCGGGCGCTTCTTCTTTTTGTAGTGGACAGGTTCAGATTTGCGCGCTTTTAGGCCATGGTGGCTGGCGGGGTGATTCGTTGGCACAATGGTAGGTCACTTGGAGGGCCAAGAGCTGCACGATTCTCGACCCTCAGCTTGCCACAACATGCAGTCTTAGACTGAGGTTTCTCGGAGAGTTGTTCCTGCAAAGCGCAAAGCTGCGTGATGCT